AAAAAATATTTTTTTAATAAATATATTATAAAATATATTGAATCGTAGAGGATACCTATTATTGTTTTTTTTTAAAAAAAAAACCATGAAACATTTTATGCATAGTTTAGCTTCAAATTCCTAGTTACATAATCCTTCCAGCACATAGTTTTATCTAAATTCAAACTTACCAAAAAGCATCAACCACATTTTCAATCTTAAAACACCTAATAAAAGTAAATTTTCAATCCTCCACATGGGATGCAAGCGCAAAAACAACTTATGCATAAAACTTTAGCATAGTAGCTCAACCAGGTAAAACCCCACGTAATGCCCTCCAACTTTTTAAGTATGTTGGACTTTACCCTTCACATCACAACGTGTGATTTTATATCCTTCTCATATTCGAATTTATGATAATGAGGCAATATTTAACATTGAGTGACCACGTGCAGCACGTGCGCCATTAATTTCTGTCAGACATGAACAGGTCAGTGACATGTGTACCTTTTTTTACACGTTGGCAGTCTAGCTTGGACTGCTCGTTAGTGGGAAAGATACTACCAAACAATTTAATTGTGAGCCCTCCTTCTCAAACTTCTCGATTACTTCCCTCATCATCGAGCACTCTTTCTCTAGCTGATGCACCCGTGTTCTCATGCTATCCATGTCTAGTTGCAGCACCTGATTCTCCCTCATTGCCGCCCTCCATGTACTGCTCTCTCCCTCTACATCATAGCCATGGACCTTCCTCTTCTTCTCTTCTCATTGCTGATAATCGCCCCGCTTTAGCCTGCGTGGTCTTTGCCATGTGTAATGGCAATCACTCATTTGGGCTACGTGAGTGCACGCCTCTAGCGTGAATTTTTGATAATCAATTATTGCACAGATCTTTTCGCTCTCAGACTCCCATAGCCATGGATGCACCTATTAAATAGCCAAAACCGAAATCAAGTCCATGAATATGATGAGTCTTATTTTTTAAATTTTTTTCTAAGAAATTCTTTTGCATTTTACCTTGAGATACACATCAATGGCTTTGTAGAGACCGTCGTCATAGACTCTAGCTTGATCCAGAAGAGAGATTGCGAGATTGTAGAACTTCTAAGGCTTGAGATTTGCGTCTGATGCAATCTCAGAGAGATAACCGTCGATTAGTTTTCCGATTAGCATTAAGGCCATAGATCCAAGACTATTACTATCATCTCTGGCCTTGGCTTCAATTCCGGCCGTAGATGCAATCTCATCTTACTTTCCTTTTTTTTTTTTCAACTCATAAGTCACAGTCAAAATTAGGCTCACAACTAAATTGTTTGGCGGTATCTTTTTCGTTGACGGGCAATCCAAGCTAGACTGCCAGCGCGTAAAAAAAGGTCCACGTGTCGCTGATCTGTTCATGTCTAATGGAAATTAATGGCACACGTGTTGTACGTGGTCACTTGATGTTAAATATTGCTTCATTATCATAAACTCGAATATGAAAAAGGTATAAAATCACACGTTGTAATGTGAGGGGTAAAGTCTCACATATTTGAAAAGTTGGGGGGCATTTCGTGGGATTTTGCCAGCTCAACCACACCGTACCCAAGTACACAAAATAGCTGGTTGGCGGCATCGGACAACCAATTTTAGAAATTAAGATAAAAGGCAGGCTGGCACAAACGAAGAAATTTTGGGATAAAGCTTTAGAGAAGGGGCAAATTTGAAATAACAGGGTACTAATTTATTATTATTTTGTATTTTAGGGTTTTTTAAAAAATATTTTTAAAACTCCCCCTAAAATGAATATATTTTTTTAAAATCCACCATTTTTTGGAATTATCTCTTTTACTTTTCCTTATTAAAAAAGTGGTTAAAAAAAAAATGAGGGCACAAATACATTTTTTTAATTTAATATCGTACAAATAAATTAAAATTAATTTCATTTAAGTTTTGAGTGGTTAAAATGTTTTTGAATAGATGTTAAATTTTATTTATTGTCTATGTTTATACAACATATATATAAACAAAAAGATTCGTATCTTATAAATAAAAACTTACAATCATATTTAACAATCAAACATAAACAAAAATATAAAATAAAAATATATTAAATTCAATACTATTTAATATTTTTTTGAACAACAACATCATTTGATCTTAAAGATTGGCCGTGAAAAGATCACACAATCTCTAACAAATGTTATTATTATTCACTTATTCCCTTGTTCAAACATTCGCATATTATTAAATATCTTTCAATCTATTCTTGATATTATTTAAGATTATCTCTGTTAATATCATGACTGAAAAAACATGAAACATGACTAATTCAAAAAATAGAGAGATCTCTTCGTTCCTTTTCTTCTTTCTCATCTTTCTTTACCACCAAATCTGAAGTCAACAAAAGACAACTAGAGGATTGGAAATCAGAAGATTGTAAATGAATTATGTTCATGAAAATCCTGATTTTGAAAATTATTTCAAAGAAGTATCTTGTATTACTTGAAAACCTTAAATGCTGGCAAAAAAATAAAATGAAAAAAAAAAACCCTTAAATATTTAACGGTTAAAACTAAAACTAATTCCCGGCCCTAAAGCAGATAAAAAACCCAAAAGCCATTGCTTGAGGAAGATAAAGATAAATTCATGATCAACAAAGTCGAGTTCTTGGAACCCACTCCATATGGTTAAAGGGTTGAAAAAAAAGGGAAAAATTTTTGATTAATTAAGGTTCGGCTTAATATGATTGTGGTCTTAGATTTTTTATTTTTATTTTTATTTTAGTTTGTATAAATTTTACAATTCTAAACAAAAAGATTTGTTACTTTCACATGATTTTACAATATATTATTATGATTATTAGAAAAGTAAGAACAAAAATAATTTTAATACTGTTAAACAAGTTATAGTTTTAATTGTCAGTATTAAAATTTGTTTTAAATAATTTTTATTTTTAATGGTTACAAAATTTATAAAAACTAAAGCAAAAATCTTAAATTCATAACCACACTAAATATAACCTAAAGAATAGAAAATTGAAACTCAAGATGTTTAGATATTTTTAATGTTAAGATGTCTAATATTAATCACATGATGACTGTTATTTAAGTGAATTTTACGTCGTGTCTTTGTTTTCTCATAACTATAATTAAATGTAAAAATGTCAAAATATCTTAGTTTTTCACATTCTCATCATTTTCATTTGTTCCCTAGGATATCTGTGAAAAGGTAAAGGATGCCTTCACCACCCAAATACAACAACATCAAGACAATTTAGGTTAGATTGCCACATTAGAAACCCGCTCTCCTGAGTTGAGAAAAATAACAGTAGAAGAAGAAGCTAGCATCAAATCCTTTAAAGCTGAGAGGTCCGAATTGCTGAATGAGCTAGGGGAAGGAAGGGCGTAAAGCATTGGCAACAAAAAGTGGGATTTCACCACATGAAGAAAAAGCAAAAGAGGCGAATAAGATACATTTGAAAATCCCATTAACTAAGAGGAAGTCTAATTATTACTTTTTGTAATTTGGGCCTGGCCCATTTATCAAGTTTACAAGTCTGATCTGAGCTCATTTAAAAAACATGAAGATTGTTGTTAATCCAAAAAAAAAAAAAAAAAAAAAAAAAACCATGAAGATTGTTGAACAGACTAGACTGGTTAGGTATAAAATAGTATGTAACAATGTCGAAAAAATGAAAGGTAACTCAAGATGAACATCCAACATATTAAAGAGAAAAATGAACAGTACAATTCCATTTCATTCTTTTTCAATTGAATACAAAGAATTCTAACAATGTAAGGCAAATGACAAAAATTTAGAAGAAATGTAACACAATATTTGATTCATTGGTAAGTAAATGGGTATAGTTTTGTAAGTTAAATTTAAAATTTAAGTTTTAAAGTTAATATTTAAAAAAATTAATTTTATTAAATGCACTAAATTTATGTCGATGTGAGGTGTGTGTCTTTGATCATTTAAAAAAGAATTAGTTTTAAAGTGTATAAAAATTAGTTTACAATTGAGTGTGAATAAAAAAAAAAGAAAATAAAAAGAAAATTGTATCATCTCCTGTTAACGTGAACAAAACAAAAAAATGAACTGAATATCCAAATCAAAGTAATTCAATGCGCGCACACACAAGTATAAACCTCATAGTTCCTTGCAATCACAGCAGAAATTAAAAGCACTAAATAAATTGTAAGAATTCAATGCAATTGTTAACTAAAGAAATGCATAGATGATGTGAAAATTCCCACAGCCAACTCAAAACTTTGTCTTCTAAAATGCAGAGAAAAAGCCGGTGACTTGAACCAAGCAAAATTTTAAAGGGAAAAGCTAATTGTTGATCTTAGATTATGCCAAACAGAAACACAATGACTGTTAATTTCCTCAGCATATGACAAGCAAAACCATGCATCACAATCAATTTGTGCTAGACAAAATTGCAAAGAACAAATTAACATGGCAAAGAATCTCAAAACATGAGCAAACCAGAGATTGTTTTCTTACATTTTCACTGTATTTTATTCAGAGCAAGCCAGAAGTTAAGAATCCGACCCAAACATATAGCGAACATAAAAAATGCAAGCAAGCATATTTAACTCAGATTATGAATAGCATTCACAGAAAAGTGCTAGTGCAGAAACAAGTTCACATAAGACACAAATCATGAACAAAAAATGATCGTGGATGGGATTTCTGAGAGACAATTGAAGGATGATCGGAGCTCTGGAGATTGCCGGATCAAATGTGAGCCTCCTTGTGACTCTGGAAATGGACACGAGACACTAGGAACACAAAAGATGATTGGAAAGCCTGATATTGGAGCTGTTTGCTATGCTTGCAATAAATTTACAATCAAAATATGTCCTGAGTGATTTACGTGGTACTTAATTTTGAATTAATATATATATTTATTTAATATCCTATCATTTTTTCTATAAATTTACGATCCTATGTGTCTTCTTACGTTGCATTGTAAATATATAATTACATGCAGGTAATAACCTGAGTCTGCAAATGGGGGAAAAGGTCATAGATTTTAAGTTCAGACACATCCGCAATACAGATACACTCACATATATCTTGTTCTCGTAGGGAGAATAGGAGATAAGGAAGAAGATTGAAAAAACTGCATGTCTCAGACTCTAATCTCAATTCATTATTTGTTTTTTTGCTCGTATAAATAAGAAAAGATGGGTAAAATGAGAACAAGAGAGGATCGAAAACTGGTAGCAGGGGAATTGGAACCAAGCAAAATATCAATCATCTACTTCAGCTTTAATCTCTCTTTGCAGCTCCTCCTTGTAGTCTTCAAATGTGCCTGGGAAGGTGTCCACAGTTCCATTTTCTACTACCCAAATTTGACTCTTTTCTTCATCCTCACAAACACGGGAAATGAGCCTGGAATCATGGCTGACAAGGACAACTCCCCCAGTAAACTCATCGAGAGCATCAGCCAGAGCATCGATGCTCTGCATATCCAAATGATTTGTGGGCTCATCCAATAGCAATATGTGTGGCTTTGACATAGAGATTGAAGTGAAGACAACCCTAGCTTTCTGTCCTCCCGATAATTTTGCAATTGGAGTTAGGTGATTATGGCTGGGAAGCCCAAACTTCCCGAGTTTTGCACGAACAGCCTCCTGCTTGCTAAATCCCTCTTGATCTGGATGAAGACGGAGAAGATACTGCACTGGTGTCTCCTCCATTGTCAGTAAATCTACAAAGTGCTGTGAATACCTGCCAATCCTCAACTTCTGACTTCTTCTTACTTCACCTTCAGTTGGAACTAAATCACCAGCAATAAGATTCAAAAGTGTAGATTTCCCAGCTCCATTAGGTCCAACAATGGCCACACGGGTTCCCATATCAATACCCAAATCAACATCTGAAAGCCTAAAATCCGCCCGATTTGGATAACTGAAGGTTACATTTACTAGCTGCAAAAGAGGTGGTGTCAGCTCAGTAGGTTCAGGGAAGTGGAACTCCACGCTGTAGTCTCTCCACTTCTTTGGGGCCTCTGCTGGGGCTTCATCTTCATCAACCTTTCCCTTTGCCTTGCTCTTTGCCGCTTCCTTGGCTGCAGCAAACTTAGCTCGTTCTTTTACCTTCTCCTGCTGAACCCGATTCCCTGACCTTTTAGCAGCTTTCACCTGCTTCTCATAAATCTCAAACTTCTTATTCATCTCTTTACGACGTTGCTCATATCCTGATTCAAAATCATCAAAATTTCCTCTGTAGAAGTGAAGCTTCAAATCATGTAGATGAATGATTTCAGTGCATACTGAGTTAAGAAAATCTCTATCATGTGAAACAACAACCAGTGTTTTCTTCCATCGACATAAATACTCCTCCAACCAGAGAACAGCCCTAAGGTCTAGATGATTAGTGGGTTCATCCAACAATAGAAGAGTTGGCTGCACAAAAAGTGCCCTTGCAAGAGATATTCTCATCCTCCAGCCACCACTGAATGACTTGGTAGGACGACCTTGCATTTCCTTGGTAAAACCCAACCCAGCAAGAATCTTTGAAGCCTGAGCCTCAGCAGCATCTGACCCTAATATCTGCAATTTCTCATAAAGTTCAACAAGCTTTTCCCCAGTATCATCCCCATTAACATCATCATTATCCTCCCCTCCAGCAACAGAAGATGAATTCTGCAAAGCTGCAACTTCTTCTCGGAGTTTGACCAGCTCTTCATTAGCAGAAACAACTGCCTGAAGAGCAGTTCGGTCATCACCAACCACCTCTTGTTCAACCAGAAGCACATCAATATTTTTTGGCACTGGAATCTTCCTCCAAGCAAGAAGCTTCAACAGAGTCGACTTTCCCATACCATTTGGCCCAACCAAACCATATCTCTTCCCGTGAGATATCTTCACTGATGCATTCTTTAGAAGTTCTTTCCCACGAGCAGATACAGAGAAATTATCTATTGTTATGTCTCTAACATTGGCATCTCCTTCATCCTCACCATCAAGGACAGAAGCACGACTACCAATAACAACAGTGAAAGCATCACGATCATCTTTAAGGGCCTCCTGTTTTGCATGCTCTGCAGCTTGAGCGGCAAGCATTTCCTTCTTTTCTCTTTTCTTCAATTCCTTGTCAGTTACAGAGGTACCAAGTGGTTTGAGGTCATTCCTCTGCTGTCTATCAACTTGTTTCTTGAGGTCAGGCTGTTGTTGCTCTTCCTCAGATCCATAAATGTCATCCTCATCATCAGAGGGTGGAAGGTCAATCCCATCAGTATAAGATGAAACAGCCTTTGGCTTGGGTTTAACAGAGGTAGCAGTTGAAGAGGATGAACCCTTCTTAGGTTTATCAGGTTTCTGGTCCATGCTGGCAAGCATGGCTGAGACTGAGAACTTTTCTTTCTTCCCATCTTTAGAAACATCTTTGCTGCTTCCCTTAACCTTTGTGGTTGCACCAATATCCTCCTTGTTTTTCTTTCCCATTGTAGCAATTACTCTGACCAATAAAAAAAACTAGTATAAGATATCAACCTGTCTAACTGTGGTTGCAGAAAAAATTGAGTATAATAATAGAGCACCAAGAAGAGCCAATCCAGACCATACCATCAAATTGAAACTAAAAACAGTGACAAAACATAGAAAACAAATAATTCTATATCGTTTTCTATACCAGAAAAGCTACCTCATCTAACGCCCAAGGCTTTTCATATAGTAGACTAAAACATGAAAGAGAAAAAGCCAGATGAAACTAACCTATTTCCAACACACCTAAAATTAGGTATTATGCAACAGAACTAAACTAATTCTATAAATAGACCTAGCTGAAACCAACGCATCTTTAAAAATTTCAGATCATTCAAATTGTTACATATGAGGATTACATAAGACGAGATGTATGAAAACATGTGAGGCAAAAGTGTAGAAATACCGCCTTAGGTTTTCATTCATTTTCTAAGCTTAAATAGTTGTATCTAACCTCAAAAACAAATAGACAAACAACTTCTTATGACTTGAAACTAAACTAAGCATCCCTTCAAATCCTTTTATATAAGAAAAAGGATCCTAAACAAAAGTAGAAGCAAACATAACAGGTTTGTTTTAATGTAAGTATACAAATACAATGGCTAGTATCACCAATCTCACGGACAGAGATATGTCAAACAACCCTAGAGACTAGAACAAAAGTGTCGACATAGGGGTTTGATCCCCTTTCACAGTATCATTAGTAAAACAATCAAGTACAAAAAATCACCAAAAAAAAAAAAAAATCATTGCTGCTTCCAAACCTTACTCTTAGGTTCTTTCGAAATAAACCATTTGATGAAAAATAATCAAAACATAAAGAACAGAAATAAAACAACAGCAAACATCATTTCCTCTATACATATATATATATATATATATATATGAGATTAATGGATATCAGCCTGTATTGCAAAAAATTAAACAAAAAATAACCTCAAAACTATGACATTTTAATAAAGAACTACTAGAAAATACTAAAGCAGCTTCATTTCTACTTTAAAAATTAGGATATTTTAGTCTTTTTCAATGAATCTTTATTTAAAAGGACTTAGCTTTGGGGTCTCTTTCAATCTAATTTTTTTGCAATACAAGTTAATATCCACTTTCCCGTGTGTGTGTGTGTGTGTAAGAAAAAAAAACTGATAAGTACATCAATAATTTAAATGTTGGAGCAGAAAACGATGACCCATAATACCCTAGATCATATTGAAATCACCCAAGAAATAAAACCACTTCAACATCAACTCTTCAGCTGAATAATCACTCACCAGATCCAATTTGTAAACATTATCAATCCACTATCCATAAAATTTCAAAAGTTCCTAACAGATAACACCGCATAGAGCATATATATACTCCGTCTTTTTTTTTCTATTTTTTTTGGCCGACAGCATATACTCATCTTA